TTATTAATAATACGATATTGTATTCACTAGCGGCGATTCTGAAAAATTTCTATTCTATCTCGTAATAATGGAAAATAGAAAGCTCGAAAAAAATACTTAATAATACACGTTATGCAACAATAAAAGTTTAATGGCGCACCCAGATTTTTAGTATACATAAAAGGGGCTCTTTGAGTTTATCACGTTCGTGTTCGATTAATGTCATCACAAGAAGCTGTATCAATTTCCACAATGCACTGTCAAAAATTACACGTATTTCGTTGATATTTGCACCACGTGGGAACAAATTTAGGCAATGCAAGCACAGTGTAACAATTCTGTGCAAATACTGAATGGGTATTCTGTTATCAATGAACTTCACGATATCTAATACAAAAAAAAATTAATACCTAACAATGAAGAATATAATTATGATTTTCGTTGTCAGACATTTTATGTCTCAGAGATTCTCACACCTTGCGCGAACGAGCGACCAAATTTTTCATGTCCTGATGATGATGATGATGATGATAGCGGATCCCTCGCCACTACGGCAGGGACGCGACCTTCGATTGCGGATAAAAGAGACGGACCAAAGGTACGGAGGACACCTGAGAACACGCTGACTGAGCTGCTGACAGCGGATAAGGAAGGGGTCAACAACACGGCTGAGAGCTAGGCAAAGAGCTAAAACACAACTCATCATCGCCCAGAAAGTCAATTTGTTTCGAGCTATGACATAACTTCTACCTCGATACTATTGCGGGCCCGTGTTATTTCACACAGCACAAACAAGGAGACTCAAAAAGTAGCAGAATTTTACCACTGAAATATCTCGCCGATGGAGGATATCAAATACAGCCACCCGCAATACGAAACTCGCTTTAATGGAACAAAAATTTTCTTCGCGACAGTTAGATTCATTCTGTAACGCGCTAACGTCTTGATATCCTACAAATCAAAATTTACGTCCAATGCAAATTATTTAGACCTAAATACGTAGCAAGGTTAAAATTGTAACGTTCATCTATCACTGCAAATTACTTCTACAGCAGTTTAAAAAGCTTTAAAATAGTCTTTACGTCCATAATTAATTATTCCGCATAGTCTGCTTTCAGTGAATATCCAGCGTTCCCCACGGGTTTATAACTAACGTGAACATTAAGATCACTGTCATTAATTACCCAGGTGAGCTTTACCAATGCTTCGTAAGTTTCCTTACTCCTTCGTACTCTCCCTTCTACCCGCTTCATGACATTAAATAATGAATCGATGCACCAAAGAATGAGGAATTTAATACGAAGACCGGTTACAGCCGTAACTACAAATTTTGCAATACAACAAATAGAAAATAAACGAGAAACATTTCGTGGTTATGTCCTTCTAGTAAAGGGAATAAATATTCGGCTACATTAGACAAACAGATCAATTTACAATACAGTGGACTCCCGATTATCATTGCTGGTTGGGAAATATATTTTCCCGGATAATTCTAAGAAAAAATGAGAAAATTTGCAACAAATACGTAAGTTTATTTACAAACATGCATTACTTATATTTTTAAAGATTTACTAACGACAGAAAGGATTTTATACAAAATTTAATAAAGTACACGTCAACTATTTTTTAAAAAAGGATTCCAACAGATAGTAATAACGTTCTGTTGTCATATATTTCAGGTTTTAGGAACAACTGATTTATATTAATAAGTTTCGTAGTGTATCATTCCAAACGTTCTAACTTTTACAACAGATTTTATAAATTAATTTGTAATTGGGAGTCTATTATCTGAAATATCTTTATATAGATGAAATCAGTATAAGGCGTGTTTAAAAATGGAAAACTGTTTCTAATTCCATAACAGTTTAAACACAAAGTTAAAAGAATATATCTGACTGTCATAATCTGTCTTCTGACTACAAAACTGCAAAAACTGCACGTAAAAAAATAGATTAATTTCCACTGCCAGAAATGTATTTTCCAGCACTTGTAACGTTATTTGCAAACCAAGAATCCTCACACTCGACACAAATAGAGACCAGTAAACATTGCCAAGCACTCCATATTATTGGTGGGAAGAAAATGCTCTCCCCAATGACTCATGGGTGCTCCAAACGCAATGAAGAATGTTAACGACCCATAAAAAGGGAGAGAACAAAAACTCGCTAAGAGATTAACGCCCGGGCAACTAATTTCAAAAGTTTTTACGCAACAGAGAATTCTTGGTGTAAAAAGTAGGACATTCTAAAAAATTTAAAATCAAATAACTGCACGCACAAAACAGACAGAAAATAGGGTTGAATTTTGAACACTGTTTAACTTAACATCAGAAAGATAATAATTTTTTTATATTTTCTTCTCGATTTTATCTATCATCAGTTTAATCTAAAAAAAACGTGTAAAAGGATGGATCTCCTTTCGTCTACTGAAGCTTCCACGTATCTTAATATTCAATCAGTCACATTCATACGAGGCGCGTCCTCAAAGTAAGTTTCCCTGGGGCCGTTTACAGAAACAAAACACAATTTCATGGAAATATTTATTGCAACAGATACAGCAAGTGTCCAGCTATTTTTCAACATATTCGCCACCGGAATTGAGACATTGGTCATACCGTGGGACCAACTTTTGAATACCTGGGTCGTAGAAGTCTGCCGCCTGGGATTGGAACCACTGTGTGACAGCCATCTCCGCCTCTCTGTCATTCTCAAAACGCTGACGCTGACCGGACAGGAATTTCTTGAGGTGTAGGAAAAGATGGAAATCACTGGGAGCGAGGTCCGGGCTGTAGGGTGACTGATTAAACACCTCCCAGCTGAACTTCTGCAGGAGACTTGCTGTCCGTCGAGCCGTGTGCGGCTTAGCGTTATCACTGACCGCACTTCACAGTCGGCGGGAGCTGGAATAAGAACCTCCATCTTCAACAGCTGCAACGATGCTACTGTGAGAACGCGGGAGGTGCCGTTAGTGCATGCGCCATGCTACGTCATTGCTCTATCACGTACGCACAGTCGCTTCGCGCAATATAAGGTTTGCTAGCTGTGGGACGAGTGGGAAACTTACTTTGAGGACGCGCCTCGTATAAACAAATATAGCATCAACTATTACTAAACAATCTCTGGAGACGATGCAATGTGGTAAAATAATAGGTTACACTAATATAAATCCCTTAAAGAGGATCTTATATCCTTTTATACTGTGCAAATTTCTGATAAAAATATATTTCTCATATACCGACAAACTTTTATTCACACTAGTTGCCGAAATATATAAGAAGACACGTTTCAGCCGCTATCAGGACATTATCAGTGCAACCTTCTCTTAATGAGTCAAATGATGTTAAAATAAACAGTCGTACAACTATAATATTTGAGCGTTTAAAAACGCAAAACAGAAATCGGAAAGAATCAACAGCAGAGAGCTAAAGACTCTTCTCCTGTTTTTAAAAAAAAAAAAATGAAAATAAACAAAATCTCAAAATGTGTTCTCTTTGGCGTACACTAACATTCCAAAGGCGTTCTTTGTAGCACATTACGGGAGATGACGTCAGCAGTACAACGAAGCAAATAACAAGTGCAAGAACACTATCAAAGTAAATAATAGTCATTGTTGTAACAATGTGACAAAAGCCCAACGACGTGGACTGGCTCTAAGGTAAAGCTTGAAGTACACCCAACAACAGCAATGAATATGCTCGAAATGAAGCTCATTACGCTGGATTTAAAGTGCCTCAATAAAAACTGCGCTATTCATAAAAAGGCTTAGCGAATCCGTGCGTTTTGCCTACGTCACTAGTTTGTGAGTAGAATAAAAACAAACACATACGAGGTGAGATCGGAAAGTTTCTAGACTGCGCCTATAAAAACCCGTACACTTATCTCAGGTATTAAATTCATCCATCACCCTCGAAGTAGTTCCCCTGGGAGTGAACACAACGATCCCAGCGCCGCTGCCAAGCCTGGAAGCATCCCTGGAAATCTTTCTTTGTCAGCCTGTCAAGCACCATCTGCGATTCTGCCTGAATCTCTTCTATCGTCTCAAATCTCCTTTCCTTTAGCTGAATTTTCATCTTTGGGAAGAGGAAGAAGTCACACGGAGCTTAGAAAGGAAGTTGGGGTCGGTTCTTGCAAGATCTTTGAGCTCCTGACAAACGAGAAGTCGATTCTGCTTCTGGTCCTCAGACAGGATGCGTCGCATGTGGAGTTCTTCCTTTAGAATCAGCTGACAGGTCCCATAGCCTATCCCAACAATGTCGCACAAGTCGTTGATGGTACGACGTCGCTCTTCGTGAATGGCCTGCCGAATCTTCGTAACATTTTCGGGCGTTGTGCTCGAAGATGGTCGTCCAGCACGCTCGTCATCATCGACAGAGGTTCGGCAATTTTTAAAACGTGAATGTCACACAAAAGTTTGTGCACGACCCATTGCGGACTCCCCAAATGCTTGCTTTAGGATTTCATAGGTTTCCGTAGCCGTTTTGGCGCGTCTTTGGCAAAATTTGATTTGTTCATGAAAATCCGCCATTCCGAAATCGCAGGAGGGTCGGTGTAATGCACTACCAAAACGCCCGTAACTAAGAAACAAATGCTAATTCGATGATGCCGGCTGGCACACTGATTCACTATGAATGTAGGCCGCACCCCCTAGCGGCAGAAGCTCGTACTACATCCGGTTCGCCCTCTATTGACACAGTCTTGAAACTTTCCGATCGCACCTCGTATATTATATAAACCAAAGACATTATCGACAATGGAAATGAGACAGCGAGCTACAAAATACTGCCGCTGGGAAATAATAATGTTTATTGTGTGAACAGTATATGCTTTCTTATATCCTAACCCATCCACCCCTTAATCCCTGTGCCTTTCACTTCAAACGGATCTGGAACGCAAAGCTTCGTCCCGACTACAGCACGTAAGAGCACAATTAATTTTTCCTGCAAAATATATGTTGAAAAAAAAATTACAAGCAGCTGACGAACTTAAATAACATATTCCAAACGGCTGTCCAAAGGAACTTACCTCCTCCACAGGAATGTAGCTGCTGGGGCCATGGATGGTCGGATGTGGGATGGGCATTCCTCTCTCCTGCCAACAGAAACGATAAGGTTTGTTACAAAACCGCTTAGGCCAATCTCCACATCACATTTCGATTAAAACATTTTAACGTCATGATCTATTTTGGACAAACCAATTATACAACATACGTAGCCAACGACGTTGAAAGTCAACCTGTAACAGGGGTTTATAAACCACTCCCTTTCCAAACGATATAGTCGTTGGATTTCGCCAGGTACCAAAGTCAACAACGACTTTTAATTCTATAGAAAGACACACTAACTAACTAACTTCATGGAGCGGATCAGACAGTAATAGAATCCACTTCACATCCAAACCCAACTTACCACAGACCAATTTTAATATTATTTTCCTATCTACGCCTAGCTCATCCGAATTGTGTCTTTCCATCAGGAGTGTGTTAGATTCGTCTTTCACGTGTACCTTTAATAAAATGCACAAATAATGCGAACAAAATAATAAAACACTAAATTAAATACGAACTCGTTACGTTCCCATTGAAACAGATTCAATACCTGTTACTGACATTCTCACTTCACCATGCTCGTGTGTTGCTGACAGTAAAGAGAACTACTCAAATGGCACTGTCGAGTGTCATAAAATACCATCGAAGCCTTTCACACTGGTTTCTTCAGTAATGTATCCGATAAATTTAAATGAAAATGTTTATAAAGGAAAGCAGGCACCATAAGCTCCTCATACAAATTGCATTACGAAATATGGGGAAATAAGCAAGAAGCCGAAATGTCATTGCCCTCGAAGTTATATCAAACTTTACCAATAAAGAACAAAATTGGTAAATACACTACAGTCTGCCGTTGCTATACGCCTAAACCATAGCAACGCTAGCACGAAGCCGGTACCTGAAAACCTGCACCACATTCTAAGAAACTGATTTCAATTATTTTTCCCTTGGCAACCTCTTAATATAAATATTTTCAGACCATCAAATCATTCTAAAAATCGTCTTAAGAAGAACCAAGGCCTCTGTGACGTACGTATGTATGTTGTGGCTTGCATCGTTTAAAGCATTGGTATTCAACCTGGGGTACGCGTACCCCCGGGGGTACGCGAAGACATCTTAGGGGGTACGTGAAATTTAAAAAAAAAGTATTATTTTATGATAAACACTGAATAATCAGTAATGTAATTTATTTAAATTATTTTAGATGTAGATTATATACTACGTATAACTTGAATTATACACCAACAACTTTGGGGGTACAAAGTTGAAGATAAATTATATCTGGGGGTACGCGAAGACATCTTAGGGGGTACGTGAAATTTAAAAAAAAAATATTATTTTATGATAAACACTGAATAATCGGTAATGTAATTTATTTAATTTATTTTAGATGTAGATTATATACTACGTATAACTTGAATTATACACCAACAACTTTGGGGGTACAAAGTTGTAGATAAATTATATCTGGGGGTACGCGAAGACATCTTATGGGGTACGTGAAATTTAAAAAAAAATTATTTTATGATAAACACTGAATAATCAGTAATGTAATTTATTTAATTTATTTTGGATGTAGATTATATACTGTGTATAACTTGAATTATACACCAACAACTTTGGGGGGTACAAAGTTGAAGAGAAATTATATCTGGGGGTACGCGAACAAAAAAGGTTGATACCACTGGTTTAAAGAGTTAGGACGAGCGCATAAACTGACAGGACAAAAGATGTAAAAAAACCTCAAGGAGCCAGCTGTTTCTGAAACAAATTATCGTCTCTACATTAAACATTCGGTCGCCATATGAATTCTGTCAATTAGCTAGCTAAAGTGTGCACTGTCTATAAAGATTAATTGACATTCATTGTACCCTGGAACGTTTTCGGAATATATTCGTATAAACTTAGTATAAAATAATAAGGTCACTCGGTGTTGGTATAAATAATATTCTGAGCTGAAACTTTCGAAGTTATGAATTAAGCAGAAGAATGACAACTAATCACGGCAGATTGTCTTTACTGAACAATCAATACTCATCCAAAAGATTAGAAAGGTGTACTGTTTGGAGTACACTGATATTCCAACCGGGCTTTCAATTCCACATCACGTGGGTTTTGAACAAATGTGATCTAAGGACATTGTTGTGTTAAGGAGGTAGACAGATGCCCCCGTGGGGCAAAGCCCCTGGAGCAACAATCGATGAGGGCTAGGCCCCAAAAAGTATATCCCTAATCTAAAATCCCATTCACAAGGCTGAGAAAATATTACAATTTTATATCTCATTCACTCAACTGATAGAATACTCAAAATATGCAGCCAAATTCACAAAAATAAGAAACAGGATATTCCAAATCTAAGTCACATTCACGCGGCTGACAAAATATTTAAAAAAAAATGCCCGTTCACAAAGCTGACAGGGTATTCCAAATACGGAATTTCATTCATAATGCAGAAACGACATTCCAAATCTAAAATCCTACTCACAAGGTTCACCGGATGTTCCAAACCCCTTTCAAAAGGCTACGACGAATCTGGAATCCCACTCATAAGACTGACAAGAAAATATTCCGTATCTGAAATTTTATTTATGAAGCTGGCATAACATTATTCCATCATACACAGTTGTGGAGTGTACTGCTCGCACCGATAGAGCACGCCACTGGACACCTGTTGTCAGCCTTAACCTCCCATAACTTGAAAGTTCGCTATCAAATATTCTGGCTTGATTCCAAAACCAAGCACACTTCGTAACTCCCGCTTCAAGGCTTAACATAATTCATATTTGTGAAAACCTCACGAAGAACACTTGAAGCTTTAAGTTTGTATCTCTGAATCGATACATTACTTTGCAATTTCCGAGGTTTCGATAACAATTCAGAACCAGAGTCTTCACGTCATAAACAGCTCCTTTCCACGAAAAAGCGTTTAGGTCACACTCTGTGAATGCCGACGTGGTCACAATAAACACCAATATTAATGTTTTCCATGATTATTGATTATACATATTAAACATCTCATTTCGCGTGACTTTGTCCCCTAACCCCATTTTTCCCGCAAGGTCTTAACTTCGGGCATGGCAGTTTTAGATTTTGCGGGGAGAGGGGGGGGATTAAAGACCGTAACCCTCGCGAAAACCGAGGGAGTGTTATATTTATGCCGTAGTTTATAACAAAATTTACTCAAAACGACACACAAATGCATTAATTTACTGCATATATTGATTGGTTAAAGACGTTGCAACGAACAGAGGATTGTCTGACGAAATGGAAAGGATTGGGTACGGAGCTGTCTCGGCGCGCTTCGACGTACTAATCCGACATCCGCCCGAAGAAGTGTGGAAAACATCAGACTATCGAAATCCGAACTATACTGCGCAGAGAACACCTTAATGCCGACAGATAAAACAAAAGAAATCAAGTACCTCTGTGATGTCATCGTCTCCACCGAGGCTGACCGAGAAGAAGGGAAGTGCTTGACTGTACCACGATCTATTTGTCGATCTGCGTTGGTCCTTTGAAGGGGTTGGGTCTGGAGAGGAAGAGGAACCAACCCTGAAGGGAGGGGAATCGAAAGTCCCGTGGGACGTCGGTGTGGCATTTTCTGTGCAACTAAATTCAGGGTCCCCTGACATGGAGTCATTGACAATACTCATAAAGTCCCAGGTATCACATGGAGCAGACTTGGAGACATCGTCAAAATATGAACATTGTAATGACGAAGCGGAAGGCATGGCACTAGAGCCAATGGCAGTCGTCCTGGGAGACGGGGAGTAAAGTCTGAGGTCTTCGGGCGACGACTGAGTAACCATTACGTTATCAGAATGATGGCGACGATGACGTCCCCTGTGATGCCTTTTCCTCCACCTGGGTGTAGCCAATTGAGGTACTGCGGCGAGATTACTGATATCCGGACAAGAAGTTCGGTTATTACCACTGAGAGCCTCTTTGCGCGAATCAGAACGAACATTGTCACTGTGGGGTGATTTAGAATGTTCTACATGGGAATCTGTTGATGCATTTCTGTTGTCTTTGGTGTGAAGGTGATGGAAAGGCTGTGTACCATCGTCTGAAGATGAATCGACAAAGGGGTTACTTCCCTTTAGATGTAAATCTTTACGTGGTGGAGAATCGTGTGGATGAGGTAGTTGACCCTCGAAGGTGTCTACGACGCTACTTATCGTCACAGGAAACATGTTGATATCGCCTTTTATGGAAGGTAAAGTTACGTCCTGAATGACAGGTGGCATTGACATGTCCGCCAGAAGAGATACAGGAGACAGGATCTGCCTTCCGCGGTGCCAGAATGACAGTCACCTCCGCTAACAGAAAGGCTCGACCCGGCTGTATGTTAAGATTCTTGTCGAATGGCTGAAGAGATAGAAATAACACACGTTGCGCAGTAGGAGTAGCTGTTTGGGACCACGGCAGTATGAGAAGTTAAAAAATAAAAGAATGATGAATGTCTCGTAAAATATGAGCAGAGAAACCGAGGATAATTTTCTATATGAAGACAGTAACAACTCTTTTAAAAACTGACGTCACCCTTCTATAAGAATGTATTATATAATAAAAATGTACGCGTAAATGGTATAAAGTCCGAGGAAATAACGAGCCACAAACCATTAAAGTACGTGAACCCGTATGTATATGGGTCTGCACATGTCAACTGACATGACAATATGAAGAATGCGGAATTATATTTTCAGGACGGTACGCAATTGGTTGGAGGTGATACAAAAGAATGAATTTAGTTATGTAAATGGGAAACAGGTAAGGATTTAGCAATAAAAAACTGTGAGAAAGCCCCTTTGAATCCGGTTTCAATAAGATGGCCGATGACATAGCAAACATAGTTCAGCGTAACAACATGTCAATGACCAACTCCACGTGTTAGGAAAGTAATTCACTGAACTCTGTCCGCCTAGGAATATCACAATGGTTGCTCACTCCACACTACCTTTTTTTTTTTTAAGGACTCTTCATATTTTCACGACAAAGTTTAGAACTCAGCTCGCCAGAATGAAACGCATATATTATGAGCAACTCCACATAAATGTAAGAAAAACATCCACTCACAAACTAAACACGTCTCCGGGCAACATATAAAAGAATAACAGCGGACAGTTCATTTAAATTTAACACAGGATTACACTGAATATATAAACATCGAGTATTCTAAACTGCAGAAATTCATTAAAACATCACACTACACGGGCAAGTGGGCAGTAACAATTAACGCTTCAAAACGAGACACGCACTGAAGCAACTTGGAACCATGTACCACGAACTACTTTGGGAAAGATCTAGGTGGAATGAGATGAGGAGGAAAGATTTAAAGGAGGGTTGTGACTGTGAGAGAAGGGGAAAGGGAACTATGGCGATGTTTGTCTTCTTCTTCTTCTTTTTTTTAGTTTCTGTCAAGGTACTGGGCAAAATGCCTATGGGCAGAAGCACCTCACAAATCGCCTTCCCCTTTAAAACGAAGTCAACATTACCAGGCCACTACACACGGTAAAAAAAAAAAAAAAATACATCGAAGGGCAGAGAGAAACAGTCCACAGTGACAAGTTTCAACACACAAACTGGAGAGGTGCCACCAAGCACGGAGGCATTTCCCTGCATGGAGCTCGTCCTCTTAAATTCCAAACAGACCCACGTGTTACAAAAACGAGGATCATAACAAAACGCCCAAACCACAAAGTTTGCCAAATATTCCAGAAATGTTTGCTTACTGTTCATATAGTGAGTTCACTGATAAAGTTGAACGCAAATTCCACTTACGGGCTCCCGGCCGGAACTGTATGACTCATCGCCAAGCGCTACAACGCTTTCCCCGATACAAGTATCGCGCCATAATAATAAAATCAAGTAACCTCCATCACAGCCGTTCCTGCCGGGAGCCGGGAAGTGACCGTCGCGTTCAACTTTATCAGTGAACTCATTGTATTATTTCAACTGTTGTATAACTGAAATAATAGCATGAAGTCTGCATAAATTAGAGGGATTACCGCCACGGTGGTCTAGCGGTTAGAACGCTGGCCTTGTAATCCTGGGGTCTCGGGTTCGATT